ACACACACACACACAAATCTAAACATAAGCTTACAGTCCAAACTAATGAGGTATTTTAAATTAAAACACAAACATACTACAATCCATAATGCAGTACCATATGACCTGATCTCAAAAGAAAAATGACATTTTGACATAATTAATTGGAACACTACATTTGAATTGACTAAGTCTTTGCCAGCACTTACTCTTAGTCTGTCTTTGGGCAATGCAACAGCTCCTTGTTTGATAATTTCCAGAACTCTCTCCACTGACAGCTGGGCTCCGGCTTGCTCTAACCGTGAGCTGAAAAAGCCGATCACCTGAAATAGAAAGTGATAACATATAAACAAGTGCAAGAAAGAGATAATATTACCAGTTTACAAATGAAACCATCATTTTCTCTCCCTCCCTTGATCAGAATATCCTTAAACTGTTCTTTTCAAAGCACTCGTAATTACTTATGCCACCATCAAGAAATGTGCTGATTTATGACAAGTTAATAAAAATTATCAACATTCTTCAACAGTCAGTGTTGGTGGCTGATTAATTTAATACAGTTTATTTAGCAATGCAATTCAATTAATAGATTTACAATTTCTAGTGCCAGTATCAACATATGTTGACATTCTGTTCATATATATTATGTTACTAATGTGTACAAGTAGAAAGTTTCCTAAACAACAGAAATCTGTGTAATACCTGATTTATTTCTTCCACTGTTACATATACAAGAAAACTTCTGGGTAATATTTGACTGAAACAGGCTTATGAGTCCGTTTCTATTGAAACAAATTCACAACTACCTAACACTTCACAGTGGATGTCACATATCTAAAAAAGATTTCAAAACTAGACTGGAGAAAGCATTAGAAAAAGCACTGTTGGGAACAATCTTGCTTTGGCAGTCCAACCTCTAGTATAACACAGACCATAAAATGTTATCCAATGATTCCTGCCTTAAGATCAATAACTTGTGGTTGAAGCAAAGCATCAATTTTAGAAAATGGGATAGATTAATGTTTCCATCATAGTTGGACCCAAGTATTCAGAGATGCCAGCTCTCACATTCGTATCTCAGTGCTAGCTTGAGATTTTGCTGCTCTTGGAAAATAGGGAAATGAGCACTCTTCCCAGACCCATACACTGAGAACAATCACTGAACAAACGACTGCCCTGGCTCTCTTCCTCTCCAGCTATAGCTGCCTGAACCCCAAGGAGGGGGTGATTATTGGGGTTAAAGAAAAATAGAATAAACCCATCAACGTAACTAAACCAGAGGCAGAGTGAGCAGAGAAACGAGGCGCCCAGGGAGCACAGGGTTTGGTACTCAGTGTTAATAAAGGTGGAGTGTGGAGGGAAGTGATCCAAAACCCACACAAATCACCAACCATAGACAGGGGGCTGGCAGTATTGCCAACCCCAAGTGTCCAAATATCACAAGTCAGGTCCCCCCCAAATCAGGATTTTTTTTTAATCTCATGTGCGCACCTCTACATTTGGAGCCTTTAGGGTCCAACTTTTCAAGCTTTTCTCCACCATGATAGCCAGAAATGTACTTTTGTTTTCAAAAATGGAAACTGAGGTTTGCATGTAATCACATGACTCCAAGAACTGGAGATTTAAAAAAATCATGAAATATGGTAGAGTTGGCAACACGAGGCTGGGACTTCAGGGGCACCCAAACCACAGTGATTAAAACTAAGCATGCACCCAGGTTCCCCACATGTCTACCCTGTTTGTTCCTTCCTGTTGCTGCTTCCCCAAGGCTCTGAACACCTCATGCATTCCACTGGCCAGGCCAGGCCAGGTTCACACCATATTTTATTCTCTATTCTCTGGTCCAGCTTGCCCCTGTCAGTCAGGGCTTCACCCCCATCATTCACCTTCAGGTTCCAGTAGAAGCAGGTGGTCCACCCCCAGTTCCTGATTTGGAACAACATGGAACAATAATTCCATCATCCTACATTTCTCTATCTCCTTTCATCCTCAAAGAACCTAAAGCACTTTGCAAATGACATTAGTTCATCTGGAAGATGGTGGCAACCATGAAGCACAGTACAGTGTACAAGAGTGCAGAGAGGAGAACTTCTGGCCAAGGACACAAGATCCTGCCTGCAGTTCCACAAAAAAGGGGGATAATTCAGAACCCAATTCCCAGAGCACAACTGCACGTACTTAGTGGGCCTACAGAAATACCACAAGTCTGCATGCATAAGTGAGTAGTTGGATGTCTGATTGACTATCTCCATATGCAAATACCCAAATCAGTGTACATATTCCATGTGCAAATACGTCTGTGTACATGTTCCTGTTATGTGGGGATGCAGTCTAGATGGGTGAAACTGTGTGTGTCATCTTAGAAAAGCAGTAATTCCACATTATGCATCTGAAGCTTTACAACTCTAGCACACTGAAGTAACCTTTGTTAATCATCTCCAAGTTTAAAAAAAAAAGTGTACTGTATTAAAAAAAATCTCAGTGGAGCTGCCTTTGTTCTGTTGAGCGAGACACACAGCTGGAGCCAGGAACCATTAACCTAATTATGCCTCACAACTGGGCTGCTGTTAGTAAAACAAAGACAGCTGATGGTTTGATTACTTTGGGATTCAAATTAGGCTCTCCTTTACCCTGAGCCTGTAAGCTCTGCCTCCTTTTAGAACAGGTATATTTGCCAGGTTTGCAGAGTAATCTTCTCTGGAAATTGCAAAGTACAAAACAAATTAAATACAAAAATTATTATATTACAATCGCTGTAGGGATCCTTTCACACGAGAATTTAAGCAATGGTTTAAAGGGAAATGATACAGTTAAAAATGTGGTTTGAAAATGTCATTATAAAGTTACAAAATCTGTTAACTTTTAGGCAGTCCCATCAAACCAACGGACATATCTTCTACATCACACATAAATATCTTGTCCTTAAGCAATGTGTTATGAAAAGGACATAAAAGAATTATGTTTGAAATGTTCTGTCAAGCAAATAATGCTAACAGCTCATTGGCTAAAATGGGAGTTTAATTAAATATTGGGAAATACCCAAAAATACTGGGAGCATGTGAACACTTGATAAAGTGGATATCAATACATTTAATCTTGATATGTCTGGCCTAAATACAATAAAATGTTTTAATATCTGTAGTTTGTGGCTTCGCTGAACAAAAAAGTTACCTCATGCATCTAGTCAAGTTATATGAAATGGCTCCACTCAAAATGATTTCTGTTGAAGGAATTGTGGGCAATCTTGGTACTGTGTGCACCATTTTGTGTAAAACACTGAGGAAAAGATACCAATCTATGGGTAAGTAATCTTGTATTTTATATAGAGGTGAGTGGGAGGAAAAGTTGCTGCTTTGGTCAAATTTTACTTTTATCTTCCTTATTGCGCTTTCAATGTATGTCAAGGCACACAGAGCTTTCGATGGGTATTCTTTGGGGTGGAGTTTAAGACTGAAATCTAAATAAATAGAGATATTAAGATAAAAATATACAATTGTTTTGGTATTAGGACTTTATAATTATCGATTAGATGGCATAGTTGAGTAATACCATTTTTGACCCAAATATTAAAACCTCCCAAGTGAACCGTTGAGTTTACAAAAAAAGAGATGCACTATATATAAGGCATAGTATCCAAAGTATTTCAAGCCACATAGCTCAAGTCTGAGTTGATGGCAGCTTCTCAGAGAAATAAATAGGTATATCATGTGTTGAGGTGAATGCTTAAAAAAACAACAACAGTGGTATGGTATTGTTCAATATTCAACCAGTATGGGTGAAGAAAACCACGGAGAGACGAACACCACCTTTCTTCCTCCAAGCCACTTCTCTGCTGTAACACAAGGTAACTGATTTTATACAAAAACAACAAGGAGTCCGGTAGCATCTTAAAGAGTAACAGATTTATTTGGACATAAGCTTTCGTGGATAAAAAACCCCACTTCTTCATCTTTTACCCTCGAAAGCTTATGCCCAAATAAATCTGTTAGTCTTTAAGGTGCCACCAGACTCCTTGTTGTTTTTGTGGATACAGACTAACACGGCTACCCCCGATATTTGATTTTATACGGTTTATTAGTCCAAACAAACTTGGAGATGTATTATGGTAAGATGTTCTGGGTGGTGGTTTAGTTTGTTTTTTTTGTTTGTTTTAAGAAAAAAAAAGGAATATGCTCTTGGAAAATCAGATACAAATAATTCATTACAGATAGAAAAATCGTTTTTAGAATTAAGAGTTATTCAATAAAAGTTAAGTACAGTAAAAGCTGTTTTATCCGGCACTTCACCAGCCGGAAAGCTCTATAAACCGGCATTTCTGATCTTAATTGAAATTCCTGTTTATAGTCCGGTTGGTGTGGGGCCAGCAGGGGGTTGGGGCGCAGCAGAGGGTGTGGAGCGTGGGCTCTGGGAGGGAGTGTGGGTGCAGGTGGGGGCTCAGGGCAGTGAGTTGGGGCATAGGAAGGGATGCAGGGTGCTGGATCCGGGGTGGGGGAGCTCACCTTGGGCAACTCCCCACAAGCAGGAACCTGTCCCAGCTGCTCCTAGGCGAAGGCGCGGCAGGCAGCTCTGCGTACTGACCCCATCCCACCCCGAGCACTAGCTCCGCAGCTCCCATTGGCTGGGATCCATGGCCAATGGGAGCTGCGGGGGCGGCACCTGCGGGCAGAGGCACTGCGCAGAGCCACTTGCTGTGCCTCTGCCAAGGAGCAGCCGGGACAGGTCACCGGTGGCGGGGAGCTGTCCGAGGTGAGAGCCCCCCAGATCCAGCACCCCGCATCCCCTCCCACATCCTACGCCCCCTCCCGCACCCAAACTCCTTCCCTCTTAGTTAACCGGCATTTTTCACTTACTGGCTCCCCCCCATTCCCTGAACATGCTGGATAAAATAGCTTTTACTGTATTTTCCAGTGGTCAAGATCCTTAACTAGATCCCACTCCTAAATAAATATATTTAAATAAATCCTGAATATTAACTGAAACCTCAACTCAATCTCGTGCTAGGGTGACCAGACAGCAAATGTGAAAAATTGGGACAGGGGGTGGGGAGTAATAGGAGCCTATATAAGAAAAAGACCCAAAAATCGGGACTGTTCCTATAAAATCGGGACATCTGGTCACCCTTATCTCGTGCTCATGTAAAAGAAGGCATGTGAAATTGAAACTGCTTCAGTTTTATCATAGTTATTTTAAAACCTGAGGGTAAACACACAGTTTTATTACCTTTTGCAAGGAGGGTTTGAGGCCAAAAGCAGCACAGTTTCCATGTATTGAGGACTTCTATATTTCATAGTGTCCATTTTGATATCTTGGAAGTGATTGTTCT